TTATCGATAATTACAATAGTAATATATAAAATACCTGTTCACCTGCATATTTTTAAGAAAAACCCTGTTTTCTGATTGGTTATCAGAGAAACGCCCCCTAGCGGGCATTTTTCGAACTTCACAAAGATTAGGGAGAACATGTAGATAGTAGTAGCTTTGGTACTTAGGTGAGATTTCTGCATTTTGTTTGTCAGATCGAAGGATCCACAAAGATATTGGGGATAAATCCCCGAAACCGGTCGTCAAATTCGGCTGTTTCCTTCGGTCCGATGAACTTAAAGCAGAAATTAGCACATTTGTAGGGGTTTTTAACGTTTCTGTATAATATTTTTATTTTATATGATTCACTGTTTAAACAGATACCCAATTATGTGTATCATGTCCCAATATGTTTAATAATTCAGTGATAATAGAAACGCGTTCTCTCTCTCTCTCAAATATTAATGCCAAAAACGACAATCAAATATATTTTTAAAATTTTTTGTTAATTGTTCTAAAATTATTATTAAACGTGTTAATTTCTAAAATCTTTTATACCTATTAAAAATGTAAGGATATAAAATATAACTCTATTCACAGTGATTAAATTAGAGAGACAATTTCTTAACAATTAAATTTTATCACTTCCACAGAACTATTATTTTTTATTGGCATTAATCGACCGCTAGGGATGGGTTTTATTTTATCTTATACTAGGGCCACATCTACAATTATAATTATTGTGAAAATTTTTATATGACACAACACTAAAAATCAAGACGCAATATTGCTACGAATATTCTGTTTTTTCGTAAATTTTTTAAATCGTTACAGGGAAAACAATACATTAATTTTTGAAAATCGAAGTATTTTTTTTTTGTAATGGTTTAACTCTAGTTCTAACAAAAAACAACAATAAGCTCAACGAGAAATTAAAAAAATATATAATTTAACGACTGTCTTTTACTTTAATATTTTTTTTATTGCAAATTATTACTCGTAATACGATAGTCATAGAAGATATTATTAGTAGAGATGTGGCCATAGCAACAACAAATTTTGATTTGTATAAGTATGCCAAAAGCCTCTTAACCATAGAACAACTTTTTTATATACATGAAAGTATTTTGAATATATACTAACAACTAATTCTAAAAATAAAGTGTTCTTTAATATAGATATATTCATAAATTTTATATATTATTAAAAAATATTTAAAAAAGAAAAATGTATATAATTAAAGAACAAAGAAAATAAAGCAGGTGTGCTACAACAAAAAAGAGATTGCACTCATATAAAAGAGAAAAGGAAAGTTAGAATTAAAGCATTTTAAAATTAAACTAGCTTACAGTTTTAGCTGGTTTTAGCTTGGTCTTATGATTAATTTGGCATTATGAGTGGTTATTTTTATTACTATTTAATAAAACATAAATCAAGGTATGAACTAAAAAGGATCTTTATTACTTTTAAAGTTCAATACGTCATGTCAAAAATATTTGTTGATAATTATCTCTAAACATAATATGAGTTATTTATACTTAAACGTACACAAATACTAAACTGTGCGTGAATAAACTACCACTAACTAAACTAAGAAAAGCACAATAAAAGCGGCCAATTATTTCAAAGATTCTTATACAGTGTGTTTCAAAATAGAACAATAATATTTAAGTTAATCTAAATATGTTCTTAAGAAACCTTTGTAGCTACATATACTTAACTCAATATTTGTTTTATATAAAATACTACAATGTTTTAAAAATGTATTTTTGTTAAAGTTAATTCATTATTTTTAAAGCTTTAACTATTTCAGATATTTACCTGAAATGTTACAGACGCAAATTAAAAATTTTAGGAGGCATAAATAGCACATTTTGGTTTAATTTTTTCTCTTTTTTAAGAAGAGATTAAGATGTAAACGAAAACTTTGTAAATTAACACCTTTAATAGTTAGAATTCTAGTTTGTAACACCCTGTATGCTTAAGGATCCAGACCAAATTGCACATGAAGACCAACTTTTATTAATTGTACACGATTTAAAAAGTATAGAATTATTATAATTCGTTTTTATGATTATTGCCAAGTTCGTTATTTGGCAGTTATCTGTTGGCCTGGCTCCTGAAACAGTTTTAAAATTTATTAAAAACTTGTGTTTAGACGTGTTGTTTTATTTAAAACAAATAGTGTTTTACTGTATAGTTTAAAATTAACGCAAGTATTCTGAATTTTAAAAAAAATGGTTGAATCTATTAAAGAATAGTATTGGACGTTGTTTGTAATATAAATATTAGCCCATGGCCACACAGAAAGCGTTTTTAGCGTTTTGCGTCTCAATCGCTCTTTGCGATTTTACCGTTTTAAGAGTTTTTTAGATTTGTGTCAATTAAAAACACTCAAAAGATGCGGCAGGTCTGCAGTTTCTATCAAGATATCAATTAGTAACGTCGCAAGCTCGTGGACTCCCGGCCCGTTCAACAATCAATCCTGTGAGAAAGAGATAGGCGAGATCGGCGCGGTTAGCGTTGAAGAGACGAAGATAAAAGATGCCGGGATTGAATTGTGGACGGGCCGGGGCATATATTCGGCGACAAACACAATCTACTGCTAGTACCAGTGGCGTGTGTAAAAATAATAATTATTATTTGCCATTTATTTTACAAATTTTAGTTTATATGTGTATAGTATTTTTATTTTGTAGTGTGGTGGTTACTTGTTATAATTATAATATAATATAATAAATAATTATAATTATATAATAGAATAGTAAATATTACTAGTTGCTAACGCAATTTTAGGACATGATTTATAAAACTTTTTGGAATGAAACTTGTTTACGCGCGCTGGGAATTCAAGGCCGTGACATACGAGCTAGCGAGACGGCCCTGACACACGAGCTAGTTGTAACGAAACGCGTTAAAGGCTTAGAAAAACGTAGTGACGCGACGTGTATTTGTGAGCAGTCCACGTGTTTATCAAAAATATTGATATTTTAATACAAATTTTGTAAAAGTGAATCAAATTATTGTGTAAAAAACCATTTGTTACACGTAAAAAATATTTTTATTATTTTACGCGATAAAACTGTTACAAGTAAAAAAAACTATCTTTTACGCGTATAGAACTATTTGTTACTGACGGTAGAAAACTATTTTTTTACGCGTATAAAACTATTTGTTACTGGTAGAAAACTATTTATTACGCGTATAAAACTGTTTGTTACGTGTAAAACACTATTTGTTAGACGTAAAAAACTAATTTTTACACGTCAAAAACTTATTGTTTCTGGTAAAAAAAACTTTTTTACCCCAAAAAAAAATAAATTTATACGTGTAAAAACCTATTTGTCACAGGTAAAAAAAATATTTTTTACGCGTCAAAAACTATTTATTTTTGTTAAAAAAACTTTTTTACGCAGAAAAAAAACACTTTTTACGCATAAAAAACTATTTTTTACGCGTAAGAAAATATTTCTTTAATTTATTACTTTTTCTATACCAAACCAAACCAAACCAAACATTACCTTCAAATTTTTGAATTTAATAGAATATTCCTAAACAGTAGATATTCTCCATAAAAATATTTTTAGATAATACCCTTAAATGAAAAAAAAATACATACTATTTAATTTATTTTTATTGTATTATTAAATATAACGTCCGCCTATGACGGGGTCTTAACTTAAGAAATCGCTAAAGACGCTACAGAAAACAAAATTATTTGTTTTCATTTACGTTTTTTTGCGAGACACGCCGAACGCTACACGCTTTTGGTGGGGTCACTCCTATATAATCCTGTTATTTTGTTTTAGTCGCTAAAGACGCTTCACGCTAAAAACGCAAAAAACGCTTTATGTGTGGCCGCGGGCTTACAATTTTTTTATCCAAAATATTTTAATTGATTAGAACAATCCAAAAGTAACAAGAAAATTATTGTGCTTTTGGTTAAAACATTGATGTGTATTTTACTGCGTGTTATTATAATTAAACATAGACTTTCAACTTCTTTTATTTAAATATTTAACTATCCAAAGTCTTAATAAAAAAAACAAAATGAAATATTGGATAAAAAAAATATTCAGTATTTTGCAGTACGCTGATAACAATATATAGAAAAGATATTGGAGACATAAACTCGGTAATGGTCGATGCCTATTAATATTTGCTTTGGGAGAAAAAAAAAAGTTTTTAATATTGTGTTAATAGACAGAAAAATCAATACTGAGCGTAAGATAGCAGTGGATTTAAGTAATGTTATTACGTACATGCAAATAAAATAGTTATATCCAAGTATCAGAAATACATACCTTAGGTTTGGCACGATGGGTATCCACAGCATCGATTGGCAGTTTAATATGTTCCACTCTACAACCATATGCAACTGGTGTTAATTTTATTATTGTGTGCAGAGGTACCCTCAGATAGGGTAGTTCATCTGGAAAATATATTTAAGATAAATATCATAGTTAAAGAAAGAAAGATAAAGAGATAAAGATTCTAGAGATATTCTAGATAAAAAAAGATATAGATCGATACATATACAGGGTCAGTAAGGTCTAGCTTTCGTAATGTCTGCCGCTTTTTGTTTGTACGAAGAATACAGGATGTCGTTTGTTTTTCATTTCCGTTTGTTTTATGGGGTTTCTCCTTTATTAATAGAGATACAAAGATACAGTTTTCACACCACAGTACTACTTTTTTATGCAACTAAGATGCTACACACAGATTTGTCCTACCCTTCTTAATACCGGAAATACAGGGCGAATTTTAAAATGTTGCATTCTTCGACTCCCTTCGTATCTTGGTTATCTAATAACTTAACAAAGCGTAACTATATAGTTTTCGCCGGCAGCAGTTATTTTCCAAATACGACTCAAATTTGCTTTTTTTTAAATTAGACACCTTTTATAATAATTTATTTGCCTTGTTTTGCTTTGTTTATGCTTGCCTTGTTTATTTGATTATTATGATACCTAGTTTAAACTGGCCGCCTATATTAAACATTTTAAAACATGTTCTTACCTTGTTTATGAAAATAAGTATAGTTTAATACTCTCATATTATAGCTGTAAAGAAACTCTTAACAAGACAAATAAAATAAAAGAATATATACAGGGTATTCCATTGAAAAAAAAATAAGGGTCAAATTTCAAGAATGACAGTTCACAGCGATAAATTATTTAACTATTTACGCCACTGAATTATACACGAAAAACTCTATGGGACTCACGCAGTTTCGATAAGTTACAAGATAACCATGATTGAAGGGAGTCGAAAAATGCAACAATTTCAAATTCCCCCTGTATTCCAGGAACTGAGATGGCTATATTAAAAATTTACAGGGTGGCCCATCGAAAACGTTCCGCAAGGCATAACGGCCAGGGTAATTTTTTTTTCAGAAAATCCAAAAACACGTCAATTTTTTTGTGAGGGGCAACTTTTGCCCCAAAAATGATTGCAAAATCTTCTACTCTCTAAGCGGGGGTGTCGTCTCCCAACTTTTTTCAAATGGGAAGGGGGGTCAAGTGGCGCCGCAATGAAAAGCTTTCTATTCCCTATATTTCCCCGCCTCGTTTTTGAAAATCGGTCGAGTCATTGATGAAATTTGAAAAGTTTATTTAAACATTTATCAGAGTAAATGATAAGGATAAATTCCTTCGACCAATTTGCTGTTTTTTCTTATTATTTTTAGATGTTTACGCATTTTTTCACTTGCCACAAGGTTGAACGATCAGGTGCGGTAGTTGCTAGATAGCTGTTCTGTGACTTGTGCGTTGAAGTTCTTCTCAATATCGTTAAACTTTTTAACAATAATTATGGTGTACTCCCTTGCAGAAAAAGTGGAAATAATCGCACTTTATTTTAAAAATAACGAATGTGGCAATCGGTTTGCGCAGATAATCAAATGAAAGCCATCCTGACAAACAACTTTATGGCAAAATTGTTCGCGAATTAGTAGCAAAATTTCGCGAAGCTGGTTCCGTTATGAATAAAAAGAGGCAGAGGCAAAATCCTGTGGTAAATGAAGCTATGGAGGTATTCGGATTGGGCCAAGTTGCCATGGATAGTACGCTGAGTACAAGAAAATTAGCCAATGAGACCGGCGTGAATCGTATAAGTGTCCAAAGGATATTAAAAAACACAAGTTCCACTCGTAAAAAATTCGGTTGGTACAAGAATTCAAAGAAGACGATTTTGATCGTCGCGGGCTGGTATTTTTGGAAATTCTATTGTAGGTCAGTTTAACGATATTGAGACCGCACCTGATCGTTCAACCTTGTAGCAAGTGAAAAAATGCGTAAACATCTAGAAATAATAAGAAAAAACAGCAAATTGGTCGAAGGAATTTATCCTTATCATTTACTCTGATAAATGTTTAAATAAACTTTTCAAATTTCAATCCTTCATATTTTCTCAATGACTCAACCGATTTTCAAAAACGAAGCGGGGAAATATAGAGAATAAAAAGCTCTTTTCATTGCGGCGCCACTTGACCCCCCTTCCCATTTGAAAAAAGTTGTGGGATGACACCCCCGCTTAGAGGGTTGAAGATTTTGCAATCATTTATGGGGCAAAAGTTGTCCCCCTCCCACACAAAATTGACGTGTTTTTGGATTTTTTGAAAAAAAAATATCCTGGCCATTATGCCTTGCAGAACGTTTTCGACGGGCCACCCTGTATATGTGTAATAGTGTTTCGAGCGATTACATTATTGATTGTTTCGAAACGCCAAGCAGTAAGCTGCGTGCGCAGTACGCATATTCATTCGATGACGAGTGGCAAGCGACGAGCGACGAGTAATTCGCTTGATTACTTATTCTGAGACAGGATGATTATGAATTTAGTTTCTTTTAAAGCATTATCGATCTAGGTTGTTGACACTCTGTAAAGTCAAAACGCTCAGTACAATAAGATGTACTGAACAAGGAAGGATCCTAAGCGAAATGTGAGCCTTTCCATATTTCTCTCTCCAACTTTCAAGATCGCCACAGCGTTTCATTCTCAGACATGTAAATACCAATCCAAGACTGTCTCTTGCTGATAGGGTATACGATTCTACCTACTTGAGAGGTAAGATTTTACCACAGTAAAAAAATCTAGATCTTTATAATGTGACGTTACCTACCTGCAGATTTGTCTAAGAAATACGCCAGGAGACATCTAAGAACGGCCTGGTGCGACACGACCAGCACGTTGCCCTGCCTTTCTAGTTCCATGATGACGGGTTCTAACCGCGCCACCAAGTCCTCGTAACTTTCCCCTCGCGGGTATCTATACGCGAATTTGTTCAGGTCTCTTGAGGCGAACTCTTCCGGATATTTATCTTTGATGTCTTCGTAAGTCATTTCTTCGCAAACTCCCTAAAAATAATCGATGTTGTATAAAATTGAAATTCATTTAGTCGGCCAGTTAAATAAGATTTATTAGAGGGGTCACCTGGAAAAAAGTGTTGCAAAGCTAATTATTGATTTGATTTGTTCATTTGACGCGAAGAAAGAGGATTTTCCTAGGTTTGCACGATTGCTCAACCGCCGCTCGACTCAGGAGGCCCAAAAAGATGGCAACATTCTTTTTTCAGGTTTTAGTTTAGTTCCGAAACGTTGCGTTTTAGCGAATATTTCAGTAATAAGGCTTGATTTCGCTAGAGAGTTTCGCGGCAGCGACTGGCAGCCGCGTCCGCTAGTTTTAGTCAAATTTTAGTCCTGGCCACCATCGAATCAGTGGCAGCGTCTTATAAAATGGCAAATAAAATATAAGCGCAAATAAAATGACAATTTTTCCACAAATGAAGATGAAATTAATATTAATAGAGTAGATCCAGAAATATCCTGCCATATACGACTATAAAAGTGATAGTTATAAAAACTTTTTGATAACAGAAAATGCATGAAAAATAATTGCTTTTTTTTGGTAAAGAAAGACGGTACAAAATAAAAGATGCTTTGAATTTATTTTACCCTGATGTTAATTTTATATAGGCATACATATATGGTTTTTCATTACACATTTTAAACGAATTTCAAGATAAGTAATAAACTTATAATTAAATAAAGCACCCTTTACATTTATTTTACTATTTGAATATCTTGCGAATCGATGGCTCCCTCCTGGTTAAAAAGATTCATAAATTCGTCTCTAATTTGAAAACCATAAAATACCCTCCTGTTTTTGTAATTCTCTAGTCGTTTTGGGTAAGTGCCAAAACCAAATTAAAATGGCTTTAAGCGAAGTTTTAACGAAAAATTATCTAATTTTTTTTTTCATCTTCTTTTAAATGATCAATAAATATTTTTTTTTATTCCAGCGTCTTTTCTGGAAAACATGATTAAGTAACATCAGCTCTTCATCCTCTTCTTCACGTAAGAAACTCAATTTTAACAAATTTCCATCCATAGTTCTTTCATTAGAAACACCGACGCCGACAGCTGCTGATGCGAAGCAAGACGCGCCAACCAAACCGCCACGCCTTGACACATGGTTGCGTCTTGGCTTGACAGAGAGGCGGCTGCCAGTCGCTGCCGCAAGACGCTCCAGCGAAATCATACTTTTAGGTAAATTAAAGAGAATTAAATTCTCTGTCGAACGAGTATACATTCATTCAATTCGGTCAGTCAGTAATATGGCTAAAAACGAAAGTTGAAGATTAGTGATATTTACTCGCTTTGCTGAAAATACATTAAAGTAACATTGAACTGATCAGATGGAAAAATATCTTTGTAATTAGAAAAAAATCGTTAGAAAGAATTATAACAATATAATACTACAATAATAAAAATATACTTACAGCGTCTATTTCGTTTAAAGCTTTCCACCTTTCTTGCGGCACGTCCAAACCGGTCACCGTTTGGATGGTACGTTTCAGCCACGACGTCCAGATCCTGAGCCCTTCGATTTTCTGTTCGTGAATGTATGCTGAGAGGGCGCTGGCGTACTGACGTCCTCGCGTACTTAAATTCGAGTCTCCTCCTATGCGGCCTTCGAGATTGTGTTCACTTTCTCCATGCTAAAAAATGGAACAACGATGTTAACGCAATTCAGTACTGATGAAGCTGTTGATAAGAGAATATTCTTAAAATAATAAATTTTCATAATACAAAGCTAATACAGCTGTCAAGGTGCAAACACCTCTCTTACAGAGATATGAAAATGGCAACTCTACGAAGTTTGTCACTGAATAAGCTCTATGAAATTTTGCATCAAGAGAGAAGATGGGACTGTAATTGAAGGCTTAATATCTTCACAAATGGATCAAAAAGGAAATAGGAACGGAATTTAATTTATTTTTCCATCAATGTTCACAATTAGTGATGGGAGTACTCGAGTGAATTTTCGCTCGAGTACTCGATTATTGAAATAACCGACATCGCTCGATTATGAACGAGCGATGCAAGTGGCGAGTACCAAGCGACGAACACAAGCGATCCTAGAATGAAATAAATTGAAATCCGATTTTAATGTGACATACTCGATAAAAAGCCGAGCGAATTTTCTACATACTGTCAAGGTGTATTACTGGTTGCATAACTGCATACTGCTAAAAAATCGCAACGTGCATTGAGGAACCTGGCGCATTCGCCAGAAAGTAAAGAAAATTATAGAAAAATCTAGAAACAACCGCCAGGGGGTATATAAGGCCCGCGCTTTGACAGTTGGACAAGTTTAAAGTTTGAAGTTTGAAGTCAAAAGTCTGAAGATAGTCTGAAGTCTGAAGTTTGAAAATACCGCGAAATACCGTTAGAGTAATAGTAGTTGCATAAGTTGTGTTGTAAATAGTATAAGTTGTGTGTACAGAGTGAAACAAATAAATTCGTTAAGTATTTTATCGTGAGTTTAAATAGTGGACCCACGGAATCCGTAACAATTGGTGTCGGAAGTGCGATTCAAGAAGATTTTAAGAAGAAATTAAGTGGATTGGAAGATTTTTAGACCGGATTAGAGTATTTTTATGGTTGGTACAAGGGAACAAGCGAAGAAAATGGAGGAAGTAAGCAAACTATTAGGCGATTTTATGGAGAATATGAGAAGGGAGAAAGCAGAAGAACAAGAAAGACTACGTAAAGAAAAGGAAGAGGAAAAACTACGACGTCAACAAGAACAGGACCGGCTTGAGAACATTTTCGAAGATTTGAAAGTTCAACGACAACAAGAGAAACAAGAAGAACAGGACCGGCTTGAGAAAATACTGGGTAATTTGGAAATTCGTTTGAAGGAGCGACGTCAAAAAGAAAGACAAGAAGAACAGGACCGTATTCAGAAAATTTTAGAAAATCAAGGAATTAGACAAGAACGGTTGGAGAAAATTGTTGAAGATTTAGAAGTGCGTCGCCAGAAAGAAAAATTTGAAGATCAGGACCGTCTTAAGAAAACTTTGGAAAATCAGGAATTTCGACTACAGAAGAATTTTGAAGACCTGGAAAAACGGCAGGAAAATCAACTTCAAGAAACCGTAGAAGATCTTGAGGAACGCCTTCAGCAGAAGATAGAAAGATTAGAGATGGACCTACAGAAGACCAAGGTACAAGTAAAGACACCTGGCGTTCAAGGAACAGCGAACCTTAAGGCCCCGACCTACGATGGACAAACGACATGGACAATGTACCACCGTCAGTTTGAAGCAGCCGCCGCTGCCAACGGATGGACTGACCAGGAGAAAGCAGCGGCACTTGTCATCGCGCTGCGTGGCCCTGCCCTGGAACTGTTGCAAACTATTCCTGCAGCCCAACAGCAGGAATACCAAACTTTGGTCGCTGCACTGGACAGAAGATATGGCGACCAACATCGACGCCAACTTTACCAGGCCCAGATCAAGACACGCCTGCAGAGGTCCGGAGAGAGTCTGCAGGAATTTGAAGCAGACTTACGTCGGCTGGTACACCTGGCATATCCAGAAGCACCGGAAGGATTTAGGGAGGAACTGGCTGCTCAGTGCTTTATCAGCGGACTGAGGGACAACGAATTGCAGAGGGCGCTGCAAATATCCCGATTTTCTACCAGCAGCGAAGCACTGGTCAGGGCGCTGGAAATCGAAGCTGCTTTTAGCGCCATCCCTAGACCGAAGATAAGATCGGTAACGGTAGAGGAACAGCCCGAGAGTACCCACAGAAGTTTGGAGGAGATGTGTAGAAAATTCGACAAACTATGTGAGCTACTAATAAACAAGGGAGTCAACAACACCCAGACAGAGAACCAAAGAAGATTCCAGGATATGAGGGTGCTATGGATGCGGCAGGAATGGCCACATCAAACGGGATTGTCGCATCCAAATGCGATTCCATTCACCATCCAGAGAACATCGGCACATCGGAAGATCCCAGGACTTAAGTTGCTATAGATGTGGCAGGAATGGCCACATCAAACGGGATTGCCGCGTCCAAATGCGATTCCGTTTACCATCGAGAGAACATAGGCACCAGGAAATCAACACTGTTAGGATGTTTTCCGTTAGGAGTCTAGGAAAAACCGCTGAAAGTTTGGTGATCAACGGGAAGATCAATGGTAGAAGAATTCGAATGACTGTGGACACAGGCGCTATGGTATCGTTGGTGCGGACTAACTCAGTGCAAGGATTGAAGATGATGCCTCTTAGAAGAAGAGTGTATTTACGTACAGTTACGGGGGAAATGGCCGTTGTACGGGGAGAGGCTTTGTGTACCGGATTTTATCATGGGTATGGATGTGATCAGTCAACATGGTTTTTCGTTTGATCACCATAGAAACATCCTGAAAATCGGAAATGAGGAATTTTCTGTATCTAAAGAGAAGAGACCAGGAAATATGGAAGAAAGATCATCGAAAATTGTGATGATACCTGGTGATACCAAGAAGACTGTGTTCGGGAAACTAGAGAAAACCGTTGGGTGCCGTGTAGGACGGGTACAAATTATCGACAACGAGCCAGATCGACGACGAGCTACTTTGGGCAAGAAAATGAAACATCGCGAAAGCACTATCAGAGTAAGGAATTTTAAACTGAGAACTGACGAACAATGGACGACGATACAGTTGAGGAAAGATCAAATGGAAGATCCAGACATCGGAGCAATACTACGGCTCAAGGAAGGTAACGGCGAGAGACCACCGTGGCAGGATATTGCGGACAGAGGGCTCGTTTTCAAAGCTCTCTGGGCTCAGTGGAATTCACTGGTGATTGAGAATGGATTGATAAAGCGCACGTGGGAAAGTGCGGATGGCAGGACAGTAACAACTCAGTTACTGGTACCAAGGAAGAAAGTCACCCAGGTATTGGAAGAAATTCACGGTGGTAAAACTGGAGCCCATCTTGGAGTAAACAAGACCTTGAGTAAGCTGAGAGACCGTTTTTACTGGGTGGATTATTGCGAAGATGTTAAGAAATGGTGTCAACGTTGTAAGATTTGCGCAGCTAGACAAAGACCAAGTACTCGATCTGGGGAAGAAATGGAACAGGATAGCGTTGGACTGTCGTTCGAAAGAATCGCTAGGAAGGAAAGATTATTGGACATTCATAAGGCCGTTAGAAGTAAGATTGCGCTAGCCAGTGACCGGATGAAAGCTCATTACGACCTCAGAGCTAATTCTACGGGATTTCAACAGGACGATAGGGTATGGTTGTATAACCCACAGCGCAAGAAAGGAAGGTCCCCAAAGTTAACTCCAGCATGGGAAGGTCCTTATACAGTCATCAAGAGGATAAATGATGTTGTGTACCGGATTCAACGCAGCCCTAGAAGTAAGATGAAAGTAGTTCATCTGGATCGATTGAAGAGATACCAGACAGGAAACCTTGATCGGGACGATCAAATTTGAGAAGGGGGCAATGTCAAGGTGTATTACTGGTTGCATAACTGCGTACTGCTAAAAAATCGCAACGTGCATTGAGGAACCTGGCGCATTCGCCAGAAAGTAAAGAAAATTATAGAAAAATCTAGAAACAACCGCCAGGGGGTATATAAGGCCCGCGCTTTGACAGTTGGACAAGTTTAAAGTTTGAAGTTTGAAGTCAAAAGTCTGAAGATAGTCTGAAGTCTGAAGTTTGAAAATACCGCGAAATACCGTTAGAGTAATAGTAGTTGCATAAGTTGTGTTGTAAATAGTATAAGTTGTGTGTACAGAGTGAAACAAATAAATTCGTTAAGTATTTTATCGTGAGTTTAAATAGTGGACCCACGGAATCCGTAACAATACATTGCAGGTAGCAAATTTATACGACGCCCTATATACCGGGTGCGTCTCAAAAGTGGCTCACCCCTATTACTTTTTTATTTTTTTAAATAAAAAAAATGAGATTTGGTGTGTTAGTATATACACACATAAATTAGAATGGATTGACGTATTCAATTGTTTTCTGTCACTTCCTGTTTCACCGAAAATGACTACAATTTTTTATTTTTAAATGGTACTCTCGGTATTTTTTTTACATTATTCGATAGAAAATGACATTCTAAATAGAATGAAGTATCATATGTCAACTTTTGACATATTCGCTTAAAAACAAATTTTATTTTAAATTTCAATCTAGAGTGCCATGGCTGTGTTAAAAACACTAATTTTTAATCAAGGAGCCTCGGAAAAATAGATTTGATCGTCTAATGTTTTTAGTGTCTTGCCGTGGCCGGTTAAAAGATGCCCAAATCGTATTTTTGATCATATCTCAATTTTTTTCAAATGGAACGAGGGTGACTCATTAGTATATTTCGAAAAAGAATTTTTTTAGGAATAATTTGATACCACACACTTGGTACTTCGAGTCAAATTGTCGTTACGAACCGCATGTTACAATTTTAAATAAACCATATGCGAAAATGTCAAAAGTTGACATGTGATATGTCATTCTATTCAGGGTGTCATTTTCTACCGAATAAAGTAAAAAAATATCGAGAGTGCGATTTAAAAATCAAAAGTTGCAGAAATTGAAAAACAGTTGAATAATATGTCAATCAATCCTAATTTATGTCCTAATAGTAATCCTAATTTATATACTAACGTACCAAATCTCGTTGTTTTATCTGAAAAAATAAAAAAGTTATAGGGGGTGAGCCACTTTTGAGACGCACCCGGTATATTTATCCTTTGCGTATCTGAGGGACAAAATTTTACGACCTACATCGACAATGCTTCGAAATAAACTAAATCAGGCATCAGGCGATCAAGCGAATCGCTCACCGCTTACTACTTGCCGTTCATTACCGAAAGGTGCCCTGCGCATGCAGCTTACTGCTTGGCGCCTGGCCTTCGAGCACTTACAAGCGACGGACAAAAAGCGTATTTTTAAATACGAGCGATATTTCGCTCGAGTGATCACTCGGTTATTGCAATCGCTTGATACTCGAGTACTCGATTATTGAAATTAATCGGTTTTCCCATCACTATTCACAATAACTACTAGGAAAAAGGAAAATAAAACTACTGGGTCAAGGGTCTACATAGGAATGCTATCAAATACTCATGGAGGTCTCTGATAGGAATAAGATCATTTTGGACCAAACAAAGGATCCATATAATGTAGTGGGAAGAAAACAGCTGACAGCTTAATTAAGATCAATACGAATAATAAGCAGTTTAAATATTGGTCCAATGAGACTTAAGCGGTTCAGTCCTTTTATGCTGTCCTATTTAAACAGCCGATACAGCTGTCCTATTTAAACAGCAGATATTTAAAATCTACTCTACATATTAAAACCAAACCTATCAACATAAAACGAGATGTAATTAACGAATTATCATCGTAACAACAGCTACTTTAGAAACGCCGTATAGATTTACTTATTTCAATAAGATTAATAAAAAAAATCCTTTGCCTCGGGTACAGATACCGCCACGTTTTGGTAATAGCTGAAAACGAAACAAAATTGAATGAGGCAACAGGAAACGCCAAAAAAATCCCCCACGCCCTCCTCACGATTAGTAGGAGGTAATAAATCGAAAGTAGGTCGAGGCAAACCAAAGTGGGTCAAGACAATTGGAAATAAATCGAAATGCGACAAAGTTGAGCGAGGAAATGCGACCTTGACCTGTTTCGAAGAGTTCTCCGCATAGTGTAGAGGCTGTTTTACAGTGGCAAAATACCCATAGGACTTTTTTGAAGATATGAACATTAGTGTTCGACCGATAGGCTTTTTTGGCCGATACCGATAATCGGCCGATAACGATATGTTTCAGGCCGATACGATATAGGTATATCGGCCTATCGGCGTATTTTTTTAAGTTTTGGTTCAGCTCAAGTTCTTCCGCCTTATACATATATACCTATACATAGGTATATGCAAGACTGCAAAAGTCAGCAGTCTTCAGCTCATGATTTGTTTTGGGAAACATATGAAGAATTTTTTGTGGAAGCATCATCAAGAGGGGAATCAAATTTGAAATCTGTATCTGAATCTGAAAGGTTTAAAATGGAAATAACTGAATACAACAATTTACCTGTAGTCAAAAACAACGAATCCACTCTTATGGTGGAAAGAAAAACAAGATGTTCTACCTTTATTATTTTCTCAAGGAGTTATTTATTTAAGAACTCCAGCAAGCAGTGTTTTAGTGAACAAATGTTTTCGGAGGCAGGTACTGTAAACTCAGCAAAAAGAAATAGACTAAAATCAGATACATCTGAGTCTTTGATATTTCTTCATAGCAATTTAAAAAAATTGGATTATTCTTATTAGTTAATATTAACTAATTTTTAAGGAGTCTTGTTTTTATTTAGTATTTTATTTATTCGTTACTGTTTATCTTTTTGTCTTATTTTAAGGAAATCGTCCGGTTTGTGTTCCTATACTAAAGCTTTTTTTAGACAGATTTAAGGGAATTTGTTTTTTTTCAAATCTTTTGTTTTAGTTTATTTTTCTGTTTATTATTTTAAAGAATCCGTTTCAGTTTGTGTTCATAAATTGCTGTCCTCCATTCACGCAGTTGTGCAGCTCTGAACTGTTCAAAAACGCGATACTCTCACTCCATTCAATTGAGTCATAAAGTTCAGAACTGTTCCGCGCCATATTAAGGCACCAGGCTATTGCGCACAGCTCCTTTCAGAACCGTTCTCGAGTAGCCCAGGGCGTAAAGCACTGGAACTTGAAGTTCGCGAATGGAGGACAGCATATGTTTAATAAAGCTGTTCCTAAAAAAATCAAGTTCTGTTAATTTTTTTTATTCCTTTTTCGTGAATAATCAATAAAATAAAATATCGGCCGATATACATTTGTTTATCGACCGATACCGATAATCGGCATGTTGGCCGATATAGCCGATATTTTCATATCGGCATCGGTATCGGTCGATCACTAATGAACATACAGATAAATCAAAGAATTGAAAGTAAAAAATTAAACAACAGAAATACTCTATACGTCTTCAATTACAAAAAGAACTACTTACCCTGGATAAATAGATGGTCCTAGGGGTGATGTGAATGTTCATAAGATAATATACTATTCTCGCTTGTACGTGCCCTTCGTGTTTGTGTACTACAACCTTTTCACCTGTATTATAGATCTTCATGAATGATACTTCTTTTTCCTGTTCCTCGTCCAATGGTGAATATTTCTCTTGGTAATGTTGGATTCTCTTAAGAAAATCATCCAAAACGGCTTCTTTGTTCATGTTAGTGTAGTCAGGACTACTGATTTTCACCTCCATTATATTCTGTAAAATATGCATTAATTATAAGTTTAAATTAATTGTTGATTTCTAAAGATAATTTTCTTATGTCAGAATTGTAAAGAATTTAAAAAATACAATACTTTGAAATATACAGAGTGTTTTAAAAAACCATGTGTCATCTCTCGTGGAGAGATTTCTCACAAAAAATAGGATTTATTTTTTATATCAACATAGGTCCGATTCTGCTTTGCTTGATTATCATCACTTTGTTCAGCTTCGTTACTACAAAGAGTTAAAGCAGTGGCTTCCAAATTGAGGCGCGCCCCCTGGTGGGAGCGAAGTAGGACTAAGTATCAGTAGGAATTATACTATTACAACACTACCTCTGATCCCTATGTAAAATAGACAAAAATACACGATCTACCTATAATTTACTCGAAATAAATCGAATATCGAATAACAAAAGTATGTATTACTATTGGGCTGGATGTATACCATGAAAGTAAGACCCATGATTACCTATGGAGCAGTTGCTTAGTACACAAAACTAGAGCAACATACAGCAAGGCAAAAACTGTACAAAGTGCAGAGCCTGGCATGCATCTGCATTACAGGTGCAATGAGAACATGCCCAAAAACAGCAATGGAGGTCATCCTAGACCTAACATCACTGCACATTGTTGTAGGTAGTTATGCCAATGCGACAATGATTAGAATGGTTATTGACGGAAACAGTACTGGGAAACATTTCAGTTCAAGGTCTTGGAACACCCTCAAAAGGGAAAATTCACTTCTCCAACTCCCAGTGGATGAGATACCAAGAATGTACAACCTTGACAAACACCTCACTGTAGTATTGAGCAATAAAAAGCATTGGAGGAGAGAAATGTTTGAACAGCAGGTAAAAGACCGTACCATAACGTGGTATACTGATGCTTCCAAAACTAAAGCATTAACAGGAATACGAGTATTTGGACCAAAAACTAAATACTCCGAACCAATGGGAACCTACCCCAGCATCGTTCAGACAGAAATTTACAATATCGAAAAATGCATAAAACTTATCTTAGATAGGAACTTTTGCTAACAGGAAATAGCCATCTTATCCGATAGTCAAGCAGCACTAAAAGCGATCCAATCGGTAACCATCAATTCGAAATTGGTCAAAGAATGCTTAGAAAAGCTGAACAAATTAGACAAAGCAAATAAAGCCCTCCTATTCTGGGTGCCAGCTCCCCAAGGGATAGAAGGCAACGAAAAAGCAAACGATCTAGCTAGAAAAGGAGCGAACACTCCAGTAACTGGACCAGAACCGTCTGCATTTACGACCCAGTGAAAAATCAAATATTTTCCTTGATTTAAGTAAGAACAATCTTCGGATTGTCACGGGGTTTTTAACAGGACACTGTCTCCCAACGAACACCTCAGTAGATTGAAGCTAAGAAGTGTAACTACTTCTTATTTTCAAAAAAGAGGCGCCATATAAAACAAGCTTGGGAACCAATGCATTGGGTTAAAGTCTTCAATTCAATAGGTGTTTTATTTGTTGGATCTCTAGGTCAAAATAAAACTGACCTTTATTATTTAGTCCTCAGGATTACAATTAATTAAAAACTTTTGTCACATTCCCTAAATAAGGGATTTAAATAAGCCTAGTCCTGACGAAAGCAATATATATATTTTTGTCGAGACATCGTTGATCAGTAACATGTGCGCCACTGACTTTTTTCGCTTGTTAGCAAAATTGTGTAGGCTGTTTATTCTGATCAAAACTTATATTTGTGTTGGGTTGGTAATACAGGCCCAACAAATAAAAACAAATTTAACTATTTTGGAGTCAATAAAACAACGAAACGTCGCACATTGGTTCAGATTCAAAAAAATCGACGCATAGGGATCAAGAAAAAAAATTCGAAAATTTCAACAATGATATTATTTTCAACAGATGATGGGTCCATTTATTCAAATTTATCACGATCCACTTTTTAATCGTAATAAAAAAGCGTACAGGAACGTTGTTTTCGTTAGATTTTGTAAGTTAAATATATCAGTTATTTGCTGATAATGGTTTAGTGTTGCTAATATATTTTGGTTCTTAGTTCAGAGACTTGGAAATAAATTAAATTATAATGGATTTTGAAGACCAAGGTAAGTACTTTTTAAGAGAATTTTATTAACTCAAATATTTTTTTATGAAGCTAGTAGTTACCACAAACATAACAGAGCGTTTTTTTTTGAAAAAAATTAAACTTTGAAATTGCGTATCTTTAGAACTCCGCAGATCTCCGCTTCTGTATTTTATAATTTTTAAACGGTATTATACCAAGTTTCATTTACCACAAGTATCTTACCCCAAGAGACCCCGAGGTAGATGATATATAAATTAGAATTTTAAATTAACCAGTAGTCTGATTTTTGTTCCATGGATAATTTTTTAAATTATTATACTAATATTTTTTGAGTAACTCTGGAGTGGTAAAAGTGTAACTATAGAGACTCACATGTTCCTCCCGTACTCTATTCCTTTTATTTTTAGGAACAATAAGCCGCAGATCAATATGTGAGAGGTTTTTGAAAATGGGTTTTAATAATAGGTCAGAAGCGGATATTATTGATGAAATTATTTCATTTTTGTGTGATAATAATATTCCTAACATATTATCAAAAAAAAGCAAATTGAAAATTTTGTTTATAAATGGTCAGAAAAGTGGAGGAAATGTAATTATACTTGGAGCAGTTTTATTTCCAACAGTTGTCTTTGGCTGAATAAAAATTTACTTCAAATGGAAGAGAATCAATCTTTTGATGACCCTGGCCCTTCAAGAAGATTTTTTTTTCAGAATTGTCCAAGTCCCAAAAAAATAAAGAGACCAAGGAATTAATTTATAATATCTTACAGAAAAAAACCTGTTTTTTTATCTACATAATGCTGCAAATATTGCACTATTGCTTTTAATTAATGGCAAAGATTAAAAATCAATTTATTTCTAGAAATTAGAGATTCTTACACCTCGGAAGTTCTGGCATATGCTACAGTTTCTAATTTAAGGAAGGAACATAACAATGAGACGGCAAAAGCAGTCCAACTAGGGTTTGAATTTCCAGAGAAAGTAGTCGCCACTAAAAATAGGTGAAGATTTACCCGCAGATGACATTCATATGGCAACAGAATATTATTGTCATCAGATAGTAAAGAAGAACTAGAAGTAAGTGGTGGTGAATCATGTCATGAAGAAAATGAGTTTGAAGACTCCATTTAACGCATATTGCAATTTATGTTTTTTTTCTTTAATTTAGACCAGATAACCTAATGGGTATTCTTTTTTTAACTAGGTTCGAAGCATTTTTCAAACCTTTTTAAAAACTATAATTTTTGAATAAAATTCATAGAAAATCCCCCCTTTTTAATATTTTTATACTAAACAAACATAGTCTGAAATATATTTTGTTTATTCCTTGGACTATCTTTGTCATGTTAATAAATCCGCCATTAAACCTAATAAGTCTAGAATTTGTAATAAAATTAAAAATATCCTATGCGCCACTTTTTGGCAATCTGAACCACTGTGCGTCGGTTTACCTGTTCAATAATTTGGGGATCATCGCAAATGGATTCGACATAAAACAACTTGAAGCCCATCTTGTTCACAACGTAATCCTGGATGACTCTCCTGCGCTCGGCCGTCGAATTGGTGGCGTCAAAAACGGCCACTTCGCCCCCGTTCTCCAACCATTGACACACGTCCTTCAAAGCTTCGACGGCGCACTGCGCCCTGATGGCCATCGCTTCCTGATTGTCCGGTCTGAAGAACTCGTGGTTTTGGTAGGCCGAGGTGGCGTGGCGTCTGTACTCTCCCAAGTTAAAAACTGCAAATAAAATCCAGTTTAAATGTTAGATGAATGAATCTAATAGTACAAATAGGTTAGTAGACTTTAGTATTATTATTTTTTGTTATTATGATATTATCAGTACATGATCTAGCCAATGTAACAAGAAAGCCTTTTTAAAGCAAACGAATGCAGGAATTTTTATTTTCCAATCTCAACGGATGAATATTTTTTTTACTGCTTGAATGAGCACAACGCAATAAAAAGTCTAGTCAAATTGTATTTTTAATGGGAAAATTTTGGGTTAGTTCTGACTTATTTTCTTTATGTCTTTTTGGGGCGCTGAACCCGAAAGTTCGCTAGCAAAAATTCATTACGGAACATTGAAAAAAATTGTCATTTTTTTGCTTAAAACTCCAAAAATATATATTTTTTTAGAAATAATCCTCCAATACAATATAGAAGCAGCGAAAATTCCCTACAAATTTATTTCTTTATATTTCTTTCCTTAGACAATCTGATTAGGCTCTAGCACTAGTTTTTTGTCTTTATAATTTATTTTTTTTTAATACGCAGAAAAAAAATCGTGGGTGTTTGGGAAGGCTTGAAAGGAAACAATGTTTTTGCGACGTTTCGCGACTTTATTGTCGCTTCTTCAGGCACCAAAACATATATTATATCCATATTATGCGTACAAACATTCATGACGATTCCAACCGCCAACACTAAACACATACAGACGAATCAAACAGAAACTTAACGGGTATTTTTTGGCCCGATATACACCGATGCTCGGTTTGTGTCGTACTCACACTCACGAAATTGTACGTACTCACACGCACTCAAACGAAACGTCGCAAAAACATTGTTTCCTTTCAAGCCTTCCCAACACCCACGATTTTTTTTTCTGCGTACTAACTACTGGGAACTAACAATAATCAGGATTTTATTTCTAATTTCTTTATAAAAAAATTATGTTGCAACAAAAAACCATTAACTTCAATTTATAATGTTGTTTAGAACCCTCCTGTCATCCTGCATTCATAACTGAGTTGACAGCCTCACTTTTGCACTCTCACTCGTTTAGACTTCTTTTTTCTCATTACTCAGAATACAAATATAAAAAAGTTCAAGTAATGGAAGGCTTAACGAATAGCCTAAGTACAGTACAAGCAATTAAAATAATTCAAATACAGAACATTAGAATGAATCAAACAGACTGAGCTGGCTGGAACATGTTCAGAGAAGCAAATGATTCAAGACTAATCAAAAAGGTCTGGGAAGAAGCCCCTAAGAACAAAAGACCACTTGGGCACCCAAAATTTCCGAAAAGTACTTCAAACTTTAGGGGTCATTAACTGGGAAGAGACAACTCAAGACCGCAACAAGTAGAGAATTGTTGAGACGGGTTTGTAGAGCCATGGATGGTATGGAAATCTTATATCACAGCAAAGTAAGCAATATAGATCAGAAACCAGGAGCATAACACATACATTAGGCATTAAAAATGATAGGCTCGAAGAGCCCCATCTTTTCGTGCTATTTTGGCAACGTTTCGTGCACTACGAAACCCCATCAACAATGAATCAAATCAAAAAATCGTCCGATTTAAATAAAATTTGGTATGTCGACAGACTGCACCAAGGCCAACTTTATCGTGTATGACATGTGTCACTGTGACAGTTAGTTTTGACGTAAGAGACGTCAAAAGCTGATGTCGTCCGATCGCCACCAAATTTGGTGGGTAGGCTATGTGAGCACAGTGGGGTATTTGACACAGATAGTTGATCGAAATTTTTTTATGTAGGCCTTATATAAATTATTGCTATTTTCAATTAAAGAGGAAATAATATGAACAAAATAAAGGATAATTCGTCGATTCTAAAAAAAGGAAGAAAAATCACTGTTCCAGTGTTTCCACGGTCAATGCCACTAATGCCAGTAATAATATCGCAACTAATACTACTAATGCTACGACCGAGGGGTGTCTCACTAGGGTAAAAAATGTACACGTATTGCCAAAATGTCATTTTATACAAGACTGCCAGTGACTGCCGACGACTGCCAGCGACTGCCAGTGACTGCCGACGACTGCCAGTGACTGCCGACGACTGCCAGCGACTGCCAGTGACTGCCGACGACTGCCGAGCGACTGCCTATGACTGCCATGTAATTATAGGCGACTGCCGAAAGACTGCCAAAGACTGCCAGCGACTGCCAAGAAAATGTACATGTAATTCCAACAGTGAGACACCCCTCGGCTACGACTTATCCGCGAGCAATGTCCATACCACTAAAGTCGCTACTAATGCCAAATTGTGCTATACTGCTAATGGAACTAATGCGATCGCTTTGTACACAACAATGCCATCGTGGTTTACACCTCGCATTAGTACTCGTATATCACTGATTGGCAAATTAGAGGAAACCAAGAATCTTTTTGTCATTTTATCAGCAAAGTCGCAAAAAGTCGCAGTATTTTATTTTACTGTATGGAAGCCCAATGTTTACTAAGTAAAACGTATATAGACAATATTCTGAATTCTTCGAAATGCGCAACTAAATCTCTAAGTATAATAAAAATGTCACAAATTTAATCAAATTTTCTGAACGCCTAACTTTTAGTTGCAAAAAAATCGTTAGTATAGAGAATATCAAAATAAATAATACGTTTTTGTAGAATACATACCTGCAGCTTGCTGAGCCATTTTCAATCAAAACAATAATATAAACGTAAAAAGAGCACAAGAACAACAACAATTTATAATTTTAAACATAAAATTTAGCCATTTACCTCTTATCTGTGAGAAGTAATAACTTTGACGTTTCGTTGAAACAAATGAATGCAACTAAACACACCCATAACAACGCCATTCATGGCAGACATGATTTAACTTATCATTTATCTTTTTTTGGGAAATCTTAAACACATTTGCTTTTTCGAATTTCGATCACCTTTTTCATGCTAATACCCCACCGTGCGACGGTACACAGGGTTCCACTCTGCAAAGTTGGATACGACGTTTCGTTTACATCTTCATGAGGGTGGGACTAAGGATTTGATATTGATGAAAAATGCGGGTCGACTTCGGCATAATTGGGGATGAGCTACAGGATGACGCCCTCGACGTTTCGAACCGATGCCTCTAAATAGACGAAATCATCAGGATTTTTCTTAATTAGACAGGGCAGACTTAGGCCAGACGGACAGACAGACAGAGGGAAGTAAGAAGTTTCACTTCAAATATACACATGCACATAGTGCACACACAATTTTTTTGGTAGTTTTCCAACTTTTAATGAAATAGTAACAGAATTGGCTTCCAAAACTAATTCGTTTAATAGTTTCTTCAGTAGTTTCACTAGTGTCCCATTTATTTCTGCGTTATATCCACCATCTACGATATTTTTATAGTTTGCTTTTGATACATCAGAATATTTCGTAACTCATATACTAATAATTGTAATCACACTTCTTAAACAACTGGTTTTAATTTTGTAGACCATTTTATCTCAACATCAACGATAGATACCCAGACCAACTGTATTTCAATTAGCCAAATGAAATGGGTAAACACAAGCACCGATTTCCATCTTTCCGTACACTGCATGAGTCAAACTGCTTCAGTGAAACTAAAAGGTGAGAATCTGCCTTTAGAATCCAAAAGTGGAAAATATACTACAGATGGATGGGAATAATGCTTGAGAAACTCATTACTAGAACCTCCTATAATGTACTATACTACCCGGGTATTCACCATTTCACTAAATTTATTTTAGCAAATTTAATCTAACCTGTAGAATAATATACAAGGACACTGTAGTGCCAATGGAACAATAAATAATCCTTTACAACAATTAACTAATAATTATCAAATTGGTTTATAAAAAAGATCATAAAAAAATATTGACTAATAATAAACACACTTATAATAGAGTTATATAGTATGGTATTTACCTCTAGTATTTATTCCAATCCAATTCAGGTAACGTGACAGTTTCTTGGAAATATAAGTCTTCCCTCTGGCCGGTAATCCCACCATAGCGATGACATGTGGACTGTTGACATAATTAGCTCTTTCTCCTGAAAAAAAAATGAAAAAATATTGAAATATATATTTATTCTTTTCAATAAAATAAAATAGATTGAATTACCAAAGATATAAATAAAATAACAAAACAAATTCAAGTAAGTATAACATATTTTTAAAAATAATTAATAAAAAAATGAAAAGAAAGGTGTAGCTGTATTAGAGAAAACTACTAATATAATTTTAAATGATTAATAGACAAAAAAGAGTTAATAATTTGTTTTTCTTTTTTCTTGGTATTAGGTTTTTCCGTAAGCGTTAAGGCAATAAATATATTCAAAATAATAATTCTAATTCAAAGCACTAATTGTATTAAATATTACAACCAAACCACCACTACTGTTACAATACCACCAGACTGGTGTCAATAACTAATTCCAAAAACTTTTTTCTATAAACAAAATTACGAGAGTAATCCAAAATAACTATTATGCACAGATCAATTTCGAGTATATCAAAAAATAAATACATAGATATAATCTCCAAAAGCAATGATTAAGTGTTCTGCTAATAATAGAGTTCAATAACAGATTTCAGGGGATCATTACAATTGGTTATTCCCAGTACTGGGTCTGAACCAAGTAGGATCCGCGATGATCCTGGCCTAGCTAGTTCATCGGCTTTTTCGTTGCCCTGGATGCCGCTGTGGCCCGGCATTGGCATCCAGAATAATTTAATTCTGTTCCTTCGTGCCAGAGCTCCCAGTTGACCTAGGCATTCCCAGACAAGTCTCGACGATACCTTTGGGTTTATAAGCGCCCCAGTGCCGCCTGATTGTCTGAGCATATATTGATGAAAAAAATGGCAAAAATTTCTGCTTGGAATACGGTTGAGTATTTACCCAAGAAAAAGGATAAGCTTACCCTTGGTCTTTCCCCAAATACTCCAGCTCCTGTTCCTTCAGCGGTCTTTGACCCGTCTGTATACCAGGTTAAACCGTCCTGAAGGAATGTTGTATATGTCCAAATTCCTCGATCCATTTTATTCACTTCGTTTGTTGAAGTGATAAAGAGGGGTCATTTGGTCCGATCTCATTTGGAGTAGAGGTCCCCCTATAGAATCCCCCATCCTTAAGTGTCCTGTTTCTGTCCTATTCCACAATTTCCCAGAGACAACTCATTTTGGTGTCGATAGAATCTCATTCTTGCCTCTGCCTGGATCACTATGTGAAGAGGCGGAAGGTCCAGAAGCGCCTCCATTGATGCAGTGGGCGTTTTTTTCATCGCCCCTGTTATGCTCAGACAAGCAAGTCTTTGCACCTTGCTGAGGCTGAGCATTGTTGTTTGTTGCATTACCTTAGGCCACCATACCAAGGATGCCTATGTTACTCACTACCTCTTCTAAAACGGTTAATCACGTTTATCCTTTTCCAAATCTCCTTAGCGTTTTAGAGAAAATTAAAAAAAAAACATGAAAATATGGTTGAATTTTTGATGAAATCCTAAAAATCAGAAGGCGTTTCTATGGTAAAATAATTTCGATTTCATTCTTTGATAGATGGTTATCGTTAATTTTGATTAACGTGACATATTTTGCTGTTGTTAAACTCACATTTTCCGATAACTAATTTCACCCTTTCCGTAACATTGAACTAAACAAATTTTGTGCTTCTTTAACATTATAAAATAGCAAAAAATATGACGTTAATTAAAATTCTATAAATAACAATCTATCAAAGAATGATGACGAAATTATATTACCATATAAACGCGTTATGATTTCTAGGACTTCAATTTTCAACTATTATTTACTTTTAATTTTCTCTAAAACTGTATGGAAATTTGGAAAAGTATAAACGGGATTAAACTATTTGGGAACAAGCAAAATTTTTTATGAAGAATGCATTTTTCACAAAATGTCAATAATAAAAAAGTTTTTCCTTTTGCAAAGACAATCCGGGGATATCAATCCATAATTACGAATAACATTACAATTAAATACAAATAATATTACAAATAACTATACACATTAGAATTTCTTATATAATAATCATTTACCAATTCTAATGGAAACTGCTCTACTAAATTCAGGTTTTCGCCTCTTGCTCTTCATACTATTCTCCTTATCCTTTTCCAACATTTCAACCAAATTACGTTGTTTACTTTACTTCTAATTGCTGGTAAAACGCACCTCTCAGTTCAATCATCCAAAACACACAAGCACTTATTAAATCAGACCTGATAATTATGAACCGTGTAAATTCGTTATCGACCGCACCGAGTTTACTATTGCAATGCAACGCTTACTTTGGACTTTTATCGGTAGAAAAAATACAGATGTCACGTTGAAAAATTCTGTTTATGTCGAGATATATATGCGTTTGCTTTATACAAATACAATCAACGATTAGATATGTACAGGGGAATTCCAAAAGTTAGTGACATTAAAAACGAAAAAATAAAAAAATATTCGAATGAATTATTCATAGCTGTACGATCAAAAACATATAGTCACCCCCCAAAAAAATTAGGCTAATCTAATTCGAAGTACTACTTGTTTAGTTGATACAGATTATAGACAGGGTTAATTTTTCAGGTCAAAAATGATTTGTCAAAAAGCTGCCCATATAGCTCTTATAGACCCCCTATAGCTGAAAAATCTGAAAAGAATCTGCTAATGGAATCTAACTAGATGGAAAAGAAATACTGCTATCACAGGCAGACCAATATCTGGGAATAATCCTGGAGAGTAAACTCCTGCGGAATAGGCATATTAAGAACATTTCCAGCAAAGCCACAAAGCCTTTCATGATATGCAGAAGACAGGCGATAAATAATATTTTGCTGCGCCCCTAATGTTTTGCGCTGGATGTAAACCATGAGAGTAAGACCCACGATTACTTATAGAGCAGTTGCTTGGTACACAACACTAATTACTTACTTACTGCCATTACTAGCTGACGAGTATTTGACACGCGTCAGAAGATGATTACGCAAGGCGTTTTCATTCATGAGCTTCTCTGTGACTGAAAAGCCCAATGCGTGATGTTATCTCTCTTCCGCACTCCAGACATTCAAAAATCTCATTACTTTGTTGCCTCTTTAATTTTTGGTTGTCGTTGGTAACTGAGTTTACAATTCTCCTCCATTGCATTCTATTGTACGATGCTTCCTCCCACTGATGCTGCCTACTTATCCCCTTTAAGTTTTCATGGAAAATATCCTATCTTTTGAGTTGTCCACCCGGTTTCCTCTTACTGTCTACAAGCTTATCGTAAAGAAGAAATGTCAGTAGGTGTTTTTTTTTCACCCTGCATACGTTGCCAACCCATCTTAAGCGGGATTTAGTAATCATGGATTCAGCGCTCTCGCAGCTTGCTTTCTCAAGGACTGATACGTTTGAGACATGGTGGTACCATTTGATTCTTAACAGTTGTTTAAGGTGTCTTTTTCTTTAGCCTTTTTCTTTAGGTCCTAGAGAAAAAGGCTTACGACAGCTGCATTCTACCTGTGCTTACGTATGGCTTAGAGACTATGGCAATTACCCGAAAAACAGCAGAACAACTACGAGTAGCACAAAGAGCCATGGAAAGAATCATGTTGGGAGTCACCATTAGAGAAAAAATACGGAATACCCACATACGTCAAAAAATAAAAATTAATAGATGTCGTTAAAAGAGTGGCAAGTCTGAAGTGGCAATGGATAGGACATGTGACAAGACAGGATCCAGACCGATGGCCCCAAAAAGTAATCCTATGGAGACCTAGGGGAGCAACAAGAAGTGTGGGCCGACCAAAAAAGAGATGGGTCGATGACGTCAGGGCAGTGGCGGGAAGACAATGGATAAGATTGGCTAGAGATCGCGAAGCATGGAAAAACCTAGAAGAGGCCTATATCCAACACTGGATGGAACCAGGCTGAGAAAGAGAGAAAAAGTTTAAGGTGTCTCTGTTGCAACTTGTTTAATGCGCTCGTGTGCCGGCGGTACGGTCGGTACCCAGGTTTCACTTCCATATAACATGGTGGGAATTATTATTGCTCGGTACATTGCAAGTTTCGTTTGCTCAAGTCATGATTGTAGAAAACCCTGTCTTTTAATTTCCTGAATGCTTTTGAGGCGCTGCTAATTCTGTGCTGAATTTCAGAGTCGATATTGGCCTTTTCCGAAATCAAACTGCCGAGGTAATTGAAATCCGCTATACATATTCCAATAGTTCTCGGATTTTTATAGCACTGTTATGATTTTCCGGAAGAGTGCACATGATTTTAGTTTTATTGATGTTCAGCTTAAGGCCCAAAGTCTCGTATGCCCAGGTATATGTGTTCAGCATTTCCTGTAATTGCTGTAACGTTTTTGCAACTAGAGCGCAGTCATCATATTGAAGTTCAGGCATATTGAAGTTCTGTGATAAGTTGTGTACGTGTTGCCCATTGCCCTGATAAATTTTGTACATTTTTTGTTGTTTATAAATTTTGAGTCTCTTTATGTTGAACAGACCGTCGTCATACCTGTATCTAACACATATTCCTATCTCCTGCAGTTTGCTGTCCGCTATAATAGACCGCGCTGCCATGAATATGTTGAATAGGAGAGGAGCTAGGACACATCCCCGCCTAACTCCTGTATTTGTCAGGAAGGGATCGCTCAGTGATCCATGATGTGACATTCTCGAGTTGTGGTTAAGGACACACTAAGAAATTTGTTGGGTACTCCAAACTTTTGCATAATTGCCCAAAGGGCATCTCTGTTTACAGAGTCGAAGCCTTTCGTTAGGTTGATGAATGCAACATAAAGTTTACTTTGCTGTTCCTCTTGCTGTTCCTTCTGTAGTTGGCAGACGGAGAATATGGAATCAACGGTACCGAGGTTGGTGCGAAAACCCGTTTGCGATTCTGGGCGGATTTTTTCTATAATATATGTGGATGAAGGCTGTTTGACATAATTTTTGCGAGAACTTTTTCCTCGATGGTCAATAGTGATATTCCTCGGTAGTTTCCTATACCGGGTGCGTCTCAAAAGTGGCTCACCCCTATAACTTTTTTATTTTTCGGT